ATTGACAAGCACAATCATAAATATGTAAGTATATCTATAATATTTGCGTGAAGACATTCAAGAGTCTTCCCCAAGAATCGAGCAGCGCTGATTGGGTGTTTACCATGATAGTCTATAGCAAGTACATTTTGACCCACCGTGAGCAATCGTCTTTCTGTCCCATGATGTCGATTGAACGTTTAGTTGAGGTTAATGAGCTTGCGCCGAGATGTGTTCATATTTTCCTGCCAAGTAGAACTTCTGGTGGAGAGACTCCGTTGGTCGTTTGAGGGTTATCAGTACTAGAAGAAAACTTATAAGATACTTATGGATTCAATGGAGAAATGATAGCATTATTGTGATTACCCTAGTTCTTTCGTCAACTTTGTCGTATGGTTGATATTCTTTTAACTTGATCAGACTTGAAAAAATTGAATCAATTTTTCTTGCAAAAGTTATTCATGGCTATTCATAAAACTTTATCAATTGTCGAAAAAACTGAAACCATCCCCAGTAGCAAACTGTTTTGACTTTAAAGCACTTCACTATAATGAATGTGACTAAAAATCTCATTATCGTCAATTATAGGGTGTATATGAGCGTAAAACTTTGACACTGAAAGCTTTACTCACAAAAACCACTAACTCTTGCAGCCATCAAATATTGATTCAAAGCATAAGGATCACATATGATGCTGATGAAGAAAACTCTGGTTTAGGCCTACATAAAGACTAAGATTTGAAGGAAACTATTGAACCTATAGTCCACATATTAACAAAAAAAACATGGAAGGAATCATAATCAGTCTTGATGACATCTCGTTAACACCTGCTTGTTACTGAGCATATAATTGATACTTGATAATCAAGTTACGAAATATAGATGTGTTTGGTTAAGTATTGATAAAGTGTTGCGACACATCACTCCATCAAGATGAACAATCACTTAGAACTCATTGTTGATTTCAATTATCAGGAAAACAACTTTCGATGATATGAAGGCGATAACGCAAATAATAAAAATAATGTTTCATGTTTTATAAGAAAGATTACATCAGCTTATATGTAGACTATGAAACGAACATACAAAGTACAATGAAAAGACTGTCCAACTTATTATAATGAAAAAAGAAATTTCAAAGTATTCAATGGAAATACGAAATTGAGACAACGTTTACAGAGTTTTCAAAGCGATTTATAAGACGTTTTTGAGAATCATTCATCACTGCTCTTTTTTATGAGTAATCACATTCACAGTATATAACCGAAAAACATGAAAAATAGAGAGACCAGAGGATATAGAAAGTCAAAGTATCCATTTGACTTGTGTTGTGTATGCTCTTCCGTTGCTCCGGTGGTCATATTCTGTAGAAAAACAAAGAATTAGCAAATTTCAATTAATATCAAATATCTACCAAGTGTTCATGAGTTTCTTTAGTAGTTTCCATCAGGTTTTCTCTAACCTGAAATTCAGGGGTTCGCATAGGTGCTTTACTGTGTTTGATGGTGTTGAAGAACTCAGATTGTTGACACCAAATCCATCAATCAAAAGCATTGAATACTAAACATCAAACATCACTCTTTTAATACACTAATCACTACACACCATTGTCAGAAATGAGTGCACAAGAGAATTCCACAAAAAGTTGCGGAATCGGCATTTGTACAATCATTTAGGATATCTACTAGCGATTGACAACCAGTGTGTCAGCACACACTATCCTATACCTAGTTGACGACTCATTTCTGTGGTGAAATGTATGTTCTGGATTTCATATCTCATCAAAATGCTGATATAACTCGATAGACTTAAAATTGACGGCCTAATTGTAGCAATCAATTCAGATTACCCATTTTTAGATAGAGAATGAGAAATCGTTAATCTGGACTGTAGCACTCGTAGTCTACAAACTCACACTAATTATTGTAACGTCGTGCACAATATTTTTTTAGTTGAAAATTCTTCGTTTCAACTGGTCTCATCGCTATATTTTGATAATTCACATAGATCTACGGATTCTTTTCAGAGTTTTGAAATTATGAAGCATTCAATGAGCTTAAAAATGTCAACGCCTTCAAACGTTTTTGGTGAGTAAAGTTTCGATCGACTTTGCACTTCGCGAAAAAGACGCATTGTTCAAATACTTGATTATATATCGTCACTGTACAAAAAGCTTTTATTTGGTCAACGACGGAGAAATACTTGTCAGTTCCTAATGATATCAATAAAATGTTCTTTCTAGTAAAAACGTTTGCTTGAAATGTGAAATTTGAGGATACTTTAAAAGACCTATGAAGTTCAACAAGTACCAACCTCAACACGACAGTCATTTACTTTCAGTTCATGAGTGTCGTCATCATTACTTTCTATACATTTGTTCACTTTTTGACACCAAATACATGTCATATTCGATGTGGTCGCTCTTTGGCATGTTTCACTTGTCTTGAATTTCGAACAAATTTCTATGAAAAGAAAAAGTTGTTTTAGTTTCAAGTTATCAAACAAAAGAAAAGGAAAACACAAAACCTGTAACTATAAGTAAGTCATTTGATGGTGATTTCTGAGATAAGTGACTTTTGCATTCGGTGGAAAATGGTCCACACGGTGCATAACACAAACTCAGTGCACTTTCCATTCCACCAATATTTCACGATAGCGTGTTTGAATTGAGTGAAACTACTTCGAGTGTAAAGAATGAAAGATGAAGTCTATCGAAGTCTATCTCATGATTGATTAAAGGAATGATTCTTTGAATATTCGAAATGTTTTTTCAAAAGACTAACACATGGCATACTGAAAAATACTCATGGTATAGGTTATTGAGAAGGAACGCATTTTCTTGTGAATTTATTACTCAAACACTGACCATGACAAATTGTATTTTGTAAACGTGATATGTCTATCCCCTCAAATTATCGGATGTGTATGACAAAGCAGAAATTACGGAAATAAGACGGTCGTTTTCAAGGTAAACTCAGTCACATGGATTGTATTCACAACAATAATGCCTCAGAAAAATTCCACATGACATTTATTGAAAAAGAAACGGACGCTAACTCCTCAATACACAATCACCTAACTGGCACTTAACACTTTTCGAAACTAATTGTATCCCATCTTTCATTTTGTGGTAAGGTTATAAATAGAAAGTAAAACGTCATTTGAGATAGATGCCTGGATATCATTCATTAGCTGACTACAGTTACCAACAAAAATTTCAGTTTCGATAAATAAAAGTGATCTAATTGAGTGTGAAAATAATTAATGCTGATTAAATAGGGTTTTACGTACTTCCGATGACTTCATACTCCACCAACGTGCCACTTTTGATCCATTTTGCAGGAACAGGTATTTCATGAACTATTAAATCTTGAAAGAAAAAAGACACTCGAAATTTCGGTTTCTTCATAACGTATAACAGGTAATTTGCACATTTTTAGAAGCCATCAATATCAGGAACTATTGAATATTTTAATACGTACACAGTGATGATCACCCTTAAAATTATGGTTGACATCGCTCTTAGTTTTGAATGTGACAGATGATCAGCCAGTAAATCAAAAATCAAAACGGTAGATTTCGGAGTTATTTTACGAAGAAATCAGTTGAATATTGATGATTATACTTCAATCTCGGACACGCGTTTTGTCGTAGTAAGAACACGTCGAGGAATCAAACTCAGCGCCATTCACTTCACACTACATTCGAGTATTCATTTAGACAATCATTACAAATACCCAATGATTTGTGTAATCGAGTGAAGCTTCAACTCATTTTTATATTGTTAATTGAATCCTTCGATTGATGTTGGGAACCGCAACTGATTCATATGTATCACTAAAATCATTTCTGTAATTTTTCAAAAATGATAGTTGATGAACTGAAGACATAAATACTTAGATTTCAATTCATTTAACCATGGTAATCCCCTGTTGAAAAGACATAATCACTGATATTATACGCTTTCAAATTAGCCGACACTGTCATTTCTAACCAGGTATAACACTGCAGTTTTCTTACAAGAAATGTAAACACTTATTCAACGTTGAATTCTCAACATTCAGACAGTGTGTTTACAAATATCATTTGAATTCCATTTCGCACAATTATACACAACACTTCGATAGCATTTTCACCAGCCGATTTTACACAAGAAACAACTGATTATTGCAAACTGTTAGAAAGCTATACTACTAGTCTCTGATAGGATATATGGATATCCTACATGTACATCACCGTACATCAATGAGTTAACAAAATTTATTGAAATGTTTCTTACTTTTTTCACATTTGAATGTAGCGTTGATTTTTGATGTCCACTCAATTCCTTCAATTTCCGTAGGAATCTGAAAATGAAGTGTTGAAAGTCTGAGTCAGTGTGTGTAACGACACAATCAATTAAGTGAAATCAATTGATCACAGAAAAAATGTCTCCATTTATATCATTTCATCGAAAGACTACTAATCACACTAATCTTGATGATATTTTCAGTTTTCTATCCATGAATGGTCCATTCAATGTGTAAAGATATTCCAAATCACGAAGGTTGTCAACTTCAGTTAAGTCTTATGAACTATCTTTCAATCATGATATGTGGCGACGTACTGTGAGATGTAAATTTTCGTCTGTTGAAATGAAATGTGATGGTAAATAACTGTGAGGATGCTGCATCTTGGATTTTTAACAATGAACAATCCGAACAGCTAATCTTAACAAGATGAAATGGAGCATGACAGAATATGACACATTCTGTATAGTACTCAAACATATACTATCCGTTAATATTCGTCACAAACACATAAGTAGTTCTACTGATGCAACTTCACTTCTGATTATTCATTATTTTCAACACGTGCTTTAATAGTGTGTCATTAAAACGATTGACAATCTTGTCAACTAGTCCGCTCATTAGACAATGTTGATCTCTTTTTATCATGGTCAACGTAACCAGATACCTTTGACAGAATTGAATAATATGAAACAGTAGAATGATCTGAAGTACATGAACAAAATTACATTTTCATGAGATTGTGCAACTTACGTTATCAAAATACAAAGTTATTTTCCCATTTGGTTGTATTACATTAGTCGTCTTGGCTGGAACATCTACAATAAGAAGACTGTCGATACTTAGAATTTGAGATATTATCGATTAACAAGGCAACAAGGTGGATAGATTGTAGTAGATATCTAGTATGTTATCTGAAATGCTTTCTTCAGTTGAAAAGGAAATTAATACATTAAAGTGAACGTCATTCGAATGAGACGGGCATGAATCCTCTCTAACAAATGTCAAATGCCAAGATTCTGAAGCTTTATTACTAGTGTGTTATTAAAAAAGCAACAAATCGTCTACTTTGCCATCCAAGATATGATAGTCGGAGATATATTGACATTTGCGCAATGTCCTGAATAATTTTATTTGAAACAATAGACTACAAGTACGCACGACATGAGCTATGAAGTGTTCGTCTTTACATTAAACTTGAGAATTTAGTTGGTTGTCAACATATATAATAATTTCCATCGCTCTACTGATTCTGACTACTGTGTCTTTTCGTTGTAGATGAGAACGGAAAAGCTTTAGTTATGTGTAGATAATCGTTAATAGTAAGGAATGACTATGTGATGAATGGATAGGTAGGTGGATGTGCCATATTCAGAAATCACTTTGTGACTGAAACCTGAAACGATAAATAATCTCTACATTCATTTTCCGACAAGTGGAATGAGATTGTTACCTATTTTATCCATGCTGACTTATTTATTACTCGTCAACTTTATTCTTTTTCAGCTCACTTTAACTGTTCTCTAAGTCAAGATGGATGTACTCAGTCTTCCCTCATTTTCCAGAATAGTAGCACCTTCACTCTTTTGTTAGTTTTTTGAAAGTTGGATTTGTTCAAAGCGAACACGCAAAAGTTGAGTAATCATAATGATTGAAAGTGTGAGTGATAAAAAGTTTCGCGCGTTTCATCCGACGATTGTTCAATGTTTACTCACCTGTATCTTTGACGGTTATTAGAAAATTCCTTTTGACTGCTAACAATTCCTCTGAAATAATGAAAATCAAAATAGATGATAAAATATCTGAATATCGATTATCTACCTCTTTCAATCAATGTACGTTTTAACACGTACTGCTTTCTCAAACAAGTTAACATCTCCACTTCGAGAATAAAATGAACCGGTGTAGCTAAGCGCCCAATCATCTCCTGGGAGGACATTTCAAGAAGTATTATGAATTTATCGAGATGATCAACCTTTTAATACAATCAACTGAGAAGAATATTTCGCTTCATTGAAATTTGTTCTAGAAGCTCTCCACTTAGAAATAGACGTTCAATACCTTATCGACAGCACATCGTCAAAATCTTTTCATGAGATTCTGTTATTCATCAATTCTGATTTTTGACCGAAATAAATGTATGTCGCGTTGATGTTCTAAGTGTTCTCATATGAGTTATTCGTACTGTACGAGAGGGCATGTTATGCTTGTTCATTAGTTAACTGTTTTGGAAAGCGTCAGGATTCGAAGTGCAGTATCATACCCATATGATCACAAAAATAGTCTCACATAGTCGATGATTCACAGACAACAAATCACAGACATTGAACTTCCATGGATAAAGTATGTGCTAGAAAACCTTGATAGTTCAAAGACTTCAATAATTCAAACCGACTCCTCTAACAACATCGCTTACCATTGCACAACCTGTCAGTTTACCACGAAATATGGTGTCGATGAGATATCTTCTGTTTTGTTGTTTTCATAGACTGGAGGGTGAGTAATTTTATTTGTGGCAATTTTGTCACTTGGATTATCAATCCAATTCACTCAATGTGTATATTTTCAAACAAAACACTTATTTTACGGCTTCCCTTCAAAACGTGCTACACACAGACGTTCTGGTACAAAAATTACACAAACCGAACAATCACTGTGTATTGGTTAACTCTCGTGTAATAATCAAGCAATATACTGGGGCATTCATACAAAATAAGTGCGAGAAATGGAAACAAAACAAACTATAAATGAATAGTATAAAAGCTCACTCTCATTGAAAACCACTGTTTCAGATCTCTGAATCTTTTGTGCGAAATTTTCAATATCTCCGAAGTAGTCGTATCTTTTTTTGGTTAAAAGTATCCTACCTGTTTTTATTTGATGAATAAATGCAACATTATTGATAATTTTGCAGTGAATAAATAAAGAGATTTTGAAATAAATGAAAGAATTCAATCAATTGCATGAACTGTATTTGGTTTACTGTAAGAGGCCACACCTTTGATAGTTCGAACGAGAAAAGATATTCAAAGACGTTTTTCATGTAACAAGGAACCTCAAACTGGTTTACTGAAGAAGTTGAATCAACTTTGATTCATGAAGAGAAATTTGATCAAGAAAACTCAGTCATAATTCGAGATCAACGAAATTTATTAGCTTACCATCAGAGTAAATACAAACTTCATCGATTAGACTATCGTAGAATCGAAAGGAGAATTTCGGTTTAACAGACTAAAATGATGCAAACATATGGATATGTAGTTCTATTGCAAAATGAATTCAACTCACGTATGAAAAGTGAAAGTTTCGATAACTGTCATTGAAAGCTGGTTGAGACTGATTAAGATGAATCCTCATTGAATAATGATAAATGAAGAGACTGGAGTTTATGTATTAGAATTTAACTGACATAACTTACATAACGGTACGAATCATTTTCAAAAATGATATTCTCATAGCTCTGCAAATTAGGGTTTTCGCAAATGTCATCGCAGTTGAAATATCTATATGGCCAAATGATGATCAGATGAAACGATAACCATAGACTACGCAAAATGGTATATCTAAAATGATCGAAATGAACAAATCAAGGGTATTTCATTGTATCAAAATTTGCATAGAAATCTTATGTTCATTCAGCACTTACCTCATCTTTTCGTGTAAAGTTATAAATGAAATTTTGATAGAACTTGTCAGGTTTATATAGACTTTTGAAGTGTTTGTTTGTTTCATCGTGATTCGATGGTTCAAAGTGACCATTGGAAAAATCTAATTTATTAAAATCACACGTTCATTGAAAACCGATCATGAAGGTAAATGACCTCATCATTATCCAATACGCTTCTGATTGTTGAGATGATTAGCTGAAATTTATCAGCCGTTGATCTATAATTCATGACCCCTGTGATTGACAAGATTTCAAAATATGCGGTTACCCAAGTTGTTATTCAAAATTTGTGCTTATGTGTCTACGAACAAACAGTTTCTTATCTGGTATAATTTATTGACTGATCGTCACCGATCAGTAGTTTTGATTTGATTGGATGAAATCGAAGTAGCACAAACTGTTTTGATTGGAAAATAATAGTTACCCTTTTACCCATGAACTTCATCGTCGTTCATTATGAAATTGTAACTTTTAAAGAAAGTCATATCTATTCTTTTTGTTACCATATTATAACACTGATTGTTAAAAAGTGTCTAAATGAAAAAGGATAATCTATTCAAATTATTAACGCAGAAATAGATGTAATTGTATTCAGTTATGTTGATTGAGCTCTCGAAAAAATGTAATAAGAGAAATAAAATACATTTTACTCAAAGTGAACTGTTGAAAATGGAGAACGATATCTCCCTCGTGACACAGATTTGAAATAACAACAGTGATTATTGTATCTGAAAATTGAAAAGTTTAACAATACAGAAGTGAAGGACTGATTCGAATTCAGTGTTTCGATGAATGATTACCATACATCATTTGAACTTGTATTAATTGTAATCTGTGTCGAAACATACGAGAATTTCACTGTGATAAGATAATATCAAGTGTATACTTAACTCACACTAAACATAGAATTCTGATGAATGAATAAAAGTCTGTACTTCCGTAAGTGAATAATAATTTCAGCAAACTGAGATGGGAATATTTGTTTTGCATGATATTGCAAAAATGTTTACCTCCCGACTCAGTGGAGTTGTATGGATTTACTTGAAAATGATGTCAACACTAATCAAAATGTTTTCTCGAGTCTCACGGTCTATTGTCGAAAGAAACGCTTTTGCGTAATTTCGTTAATTCATCAATATCAAAATTGTTTCCAATGGTACATTGCTCATTCTATGCTGCAGACCAATATCTAATCAGCAGAGGAAACGTATCTGTGTATGTAATAGTGTTAATGAGTGACTGTGTTCAGGAAGAGTATGACGGACATTATTAAGTATCCAGTGCAGTGTCTCCTTATATCTACCTGTGTATTTGACATATTTTTAAAAGCGAATGTGTTGTAAGTACACGATACGTTCAGCAACCTAAATGGGCTACATGCTGATGTAGCTACGCGACATCAACACTTACATTTTGTTAGTTCATGCATATAACCCACTATTCTCGAATCGTCTTAATAATCATTTCAAAACCTTTCAAATGAATGACTTCGCTGTATCGTGAAGAATTCATAAGGCAGTAAGCTAAGTCTACGGTGAACGTTTGAGGTCATTAATAATATGATTATGAATAGATATCTAATATCGTGTTGAAACCTGACAGTTTTTTCTTAATGAATGTCAAACATTCATTCTATTCATACTTTTCGCCTTGTACATCTTTCGGTAGAAGTCGCACAAATGTATTTGTAGATGAATAAATGGGGAAACAGTAGTCTGTGGTAAAAAAGAGGAGTTCCACAAAGTTATCAGAGACCATCAAATCCATCGAAGAAGAGCTCGATTGGAATAAAAACAGGCTGATGTGGACTTTTCAGATTTCGATGCTCTAAGTAGTGGAAGGAATTTCATCTGTTTTCCATCTTCACGAACTAGACGAATATTCACCGATGACGTAATTGATAGTGAGGGGTTGAATTTAATTTTATAAACCATTCGAGAAAATGCTACTTAACGATCTCAATCATTGAATGTAGTCAGAAATCAGGATGTTAATTTGAATGAACTTGCGCAGTTACGAAGCATCTTTTACTACAGAATATCAAACTCCAGGGAGATATGGCATCTTGCATTTCAGAGGACAAACTATCCAGATCTTTGAAAACTACATTCTATTCTGCTGAATTCTAATTTGTTTTCGTCAGGAAGAAACGCATTAGGACAGTCTCAAGAAACAATTAAGGCTTAGAGGTTCCTAAACGTTCCGCGGAGATAATGTGTACCGGAGGCACAGCTGATGATGAACTCAATATAGTCCGGAAAACACTTTTGGAGAATTTCATTAAAACTAGGTTAATTGACAATGCTGACTAGTGATGAACAGAGAGACAGAATTGCCGGATTCCAGTTTCGTAATGGTTTTCCTTGATTGTTTGTTAATTCAATTATTAGTATTTCCTCCCTTCTATTTTGAAAAGCAGATAGTCTTCTTTAACACATCTACTTCATTCGGCACAATGTGTTTGACGACAAAACGTTATGGTTGTAGTGATCAAGTAGAAAATATTGTCCAACGAGGACAAATAATTCAAGATGAACAATCTTGTATGACCGAAATAAAACACCTTCTCCTTTCGTCCACTTCAAACTATCCACATCGACTTCAGTGACTTGACGATTCAATCAGGAAAACGTGTTTCAATATCACATATAATCATCAAATCTATTTGATTTCTTCCAAATTATTATGTATTTTCACATAAGAATTATTTTTCTAAAAGTAACAATAGTGATAGTAATAGTGTACATAATGTTTTGGTGTGATCTGTCTGTTGACCTCAGTTCTCTTCATTGTTGAAATATGAAAGATTGTACTTCCTTGTTGTTTATCACCACATTTTATCCGAATAATCAGACTATGTGACAGTTTCTTTTGTCTAGTGAGCATGATAAGAGTTTTCGAAATGATAATGAATGTCACTCTCTATCATTACATTCATATGACTGATAATCATCGACGCAGAGAGAACAAAATTGAATGAAATTTTCATTTGACATATGACTACTACTTTTGTCCAGACAAAATGTAGTGAAAACGGATACTTTGTCCGTCGATTCAAAGAAGATCTTGATTCAGCTATGAATGAAAACACTGAAATCATCTACTATCTTATTTCGAATGAGTCTAGTAACACTTGTCGTATAGAGTTAACTAGGTTTCACGCCTTCAGTTTATGGAGTCACGGATGTATCATCTGTAACCACAATGCCTTCAGACTCGACCTCAAAACATGTCTCATCCTTATTGACTACGATGCCATGAAAAATCATTTTGATGACCTATGCCACATCACGTTTTGTGTCACGTTCTATACCAATTACTGTTATTGATTAACTCACGGTTAAGCGATATTCTGGATAGACATATTTCATTGTTCATCAAATGTATGTTTGTATTTAATTTCGACTCAAGCCTTGTATAGTGGTTAGGTGGACGTCACCACATTTCACGTGAAATCGAACACATTGTAAATCATTATTTCATGTTTAGATTCGTCGTATTTTGCGTTAGAATTGAAATGTATTTTATCGCCATTAAGCATTTCGTGGAAGAAAGAATTTGCTACACCTATGATCCTTAACTATTCTCTAGACTGTCGAGCACAGAGTCTTTTGTTAGCCAAAGTCAGAACAAGTATGCCATTCATTTTGTTATACTTCATCTGTTTTTATCTACAACGTAAATTTACACTGTTGATATAGAAAATAAATAACACAGTATATGAAACGGGGAATCAAATAAATGTGAATAACTTTCCAAACAGTGAATAGAGGATAGGAAAATTGAACCAACGAAGTGAATATTGTTTTGTAGTGAACATAAAATTGTGACTGTTGAAATGGCGCGACATAGTCATACAAGACCAAAGAAAGTCAATGTGTTGGTAGTCACTTTATTTTATCATTGACGTGTTCACTGATCTACTACGTTTCACATCTCCACCTGAATACTAAAATTGTCTGCCCGCTATGTCTGTCTCAACAAATTCGAATTCATAAATCAAGTTGATATTCTTCAGGGGATATTCTGGTCGTTTTAGAGAACGTTCTCTGTTTTTTACTATGTCAGCAGAAATCACTTACTCGCTGACTCGTTTATAGACTTCATCACTCGCTCGCTCATTCGACTCGCACGCTAACTCATCTGCTATAGAGCGCTACCGTTTCATGTTTGCCTTTGGCGCCTGCAATTTTGGATATCTGTATGTGTTTCAATGATAAACGCAATCAACACTTCGTATTCGCTTCATGATTTACACACCGTTGGGGTGATACGGAGTAACGGATATCAAGACGAACAATCTACGACGTTTGAGGAATAACATCAAGTATCGACCATCACAGACTGTTCTCATTTCTATATTGCAATAAAACAAGAAACGTTGATGCATAAAAAGAATATGAATGCATTCTATTTCGAGATTTCTTGTGTGCTTTTTCCCTTCTTTTGCATATAATTTCGAAAGCGTGTATGCATTTCCTGCTCGTGAGGTGAACAATATGCGAAATTGCATCAGCATGGAGCTAAACAGGGTAGCGCAATAGTGCTTAAAATGGTAGTTGTAGGTCGACACAGATAAATCTGAATAGATATGCTTCGGCAATACATTACTCGAATTAGGTTTCACCATTATTACTGAAGTGTTATCTACGTTAAATGCAGTAGTGGATTTAGGTACTTCTACGATTTG